AGGGAAGGCAACGCAATGTGAAAATCTAATTAACAACTTGGAATGTTGTTTCTGTATTCCGTGTGCCGGAATGCTGTGCTGGAATGCGTGCATTCCGTGTGCCAACAAAACCTATGACCCCATGTATACGCTACCGCCCACCGCAATGCGCATAGCGAGCAGGCCGTTGGCCAGACGGGCATCGCGGTTGGCCACCGCTGCGCCGCCACCCCGATGCGCATGTTCAACCCAGGCGCCGACCCCAGATATTGCAGCAAGGCCCAAGCTACTTCTGGGCCAAGCTGTGGTTCAGCCTCCTGCTGAGCTCCACCCGATGGCGCGGCAAGGCTGGGCAGGCGCTCAGGGAGTCGGTCGACCAGCAGCTGCGGCGACAGACCGGCGCGCGGCCTCATGGAGAGGGCCTCGGTGCAAGGGCCAGCTTCACCTGCCTCCACCGCTCGGCCCGATGCACGCGCAAGCGCGGCCATCGCGGGGAGGCTGGCGCGCTCGAGGCCGCGGCAGCAGCAACAGAAATAACTGGCCGCCATGGGGCGCCCTTCCCCCGCAATGCCAGGCCGTTGACTGCCCCGGCGCCGTCGCGCTGATCCACGACGGCGAGCTGCGAGGGCAGCGCGCGGCCTTCGACGAAGCCTGCCTGGATGGATGCGCCACCGACACTGATTGCCGGGTGCCCCGCGCTGGCTTGGGCATATCCTTTGGGCCATCAGTCGACGGAGACATGCATTCAGACAGCCCCCGCGGGCGAGCTCGCAGCTCTGCTGCAGGCGCTCAGGCTCGCCGGGGGGGCCATCGCCCCGCGGGCCCACTGCCGGCTTGTCCGCGACGGCCGGCACGCGGGGCGCATCTCAAGCCCGCGCGGTCCGCTGGCTCGTTGGCGGCGCAAGATCGCCGCGACTATCTGGGAACGACCTGGAGGAACCGCGGCGGTGGCATCGCGCAAGTGCTACTCCCACCCATCAGCTTCGCGGAGGTTGGCCAGGCCGAGGCCGTCGCCCTCGGAGACGTGATTTCCGGCGCTCTGGCAGAACGAGCGCGGGCCAGAATTCGCGGCCGCTGGGATCGCCCCCCGGGCGCGCGCCTTCCGCGGGCAGGGGGCCCGCCTGGCTAAGGTTCGCCGCCGCCTTGGGGCGATCAACGATGCGGTCTTCGGCGAGGCGCCCGACGGCCCGCGGGCCCCCAAGGCCCCGCGGCTTCGGCAGATGGCCAGGCGGCACCAGGAGCAGCTGGCTGACATAGCGAGCCACTGCATGCAGCGCGGCCAGGGGCGGCGCGATAGAGGCCGTTTGCGCTGCCGCCGCTGCCGGCAATGCCCTGGCAAGCACGGCCTCGCCGACTGGCTGCTCGACCATCCCGCGTGCCCAGGCCCCCCATTCGACCCGGCGCGCGCCGTGGGCCGCGCCGCCCCGGCGCCCGACAGCGCGGCGCCTCTCCATCTCGGGCCGGGCCCCGCCCCGCTCGCACACTGCGGCGCGCTGGCGATGCGGCGCGGCCGGCGCGACGCATGCTGGCGGCACTGGCAAGCTCCGCCTCCTCGCGAAGGAGCGCCGAGGATACCCCGCGATCAGTGGGCATGGGCAGCTGGCCAGGCCCCCGCGCGCCCCCCCGCCGAAAACAAGCGTGCTCTGGCCAGACGGCTCGAGCCCGCCAGCCTGCGGCCGCCTCGGGCGGGCCGTGGCGGCACCTCAGGCCGAAACAAGCGGCGACAGACTCTCGGCGGCCGCGCCAAGTAACTGCGCGCCCGGCCTCGGGATCGGCCCCGCAGACTTATTGCTCGCGGCCAGCTGCAGCGAAGCGGCCGCCAGCCCGCGGAGGACCCCCTGAGGCGGACAGATCCCGCCCCCCCCAGCAACGGCGCCCAGGCCGCCACTCTCCCACGCGCACGACGCGGCTCCAGTCTGACGACCCCTGAGGGCGCAGCGCTAGGAGGGCGCGCAGGGCAGGCGCGGCGGCTAGGAGCACAGCCGAGCCCACGGCAGCAGCCCCCCCATGCCATGGGCACGCTGACCCGCCAGCGCTTGGGCAGCTCATCCTAGGGCTCGCGGCGTTGGCGGCCAGGGCGGTTTATCGCGAGGCGGCAGCGGCAGCTGCTGCAGCGCCGCCGGCGCCCGAGACGGCCCCCCTGCAGCCACTCGCAAGCGGCGACCGGCTCATGTCACGATTTGATTGAAGTAGGTCTGCACGAAAGAGGCGCGCATGAGCGGAATGCCCCATCGGATCAACCAGCTGAGTTCCGATTCTGTTTGCGCCGTGTAAAAAATTCTGATTGCAGACGGGCGAGATCAACATAATCATGCGCGATTGCGCCGCGCGTTGCCGTGGAATTTCGTCGCAAACCCGTTGCCAAGATAGTGGGGCCAATTCGCCGACACGCTCGCCAGGTGCCGCCCCCGCTCGCGGCCGACGGCGGGCTTCGGGAAAGCGCCGACGAACTTCGCGCGCGGGTTGCCTCCGTCCACGCGGCCATCTCCACGACGACGCTTGCAGGCAGCGCTGGAATAGCGGGGCGAAAGCGATGCCAACGAACCCGTCGGTGATCGAGGCGGTCGGCTGCGCAACTGGCGCATCGCTTCGCCATGCCGCTGCGCCCCGCCCCGGATCTCGGCGAACCGGGTGGAGAGCTGGCACGTTTACGCATGCGCGGTCCGGGCGCTGGCCGAGAGCGTTTGCAAACTCTGGTCGACGGGGCCCGTGCTCGCCTCGATATGCATCGCGATGGAAGAAGATGCCGTGGTCATCGCTTTCTCTTTGACCTCCTGAAGGTCTCCAGCGCTCGACGACATGATCTCCCGCGCAACATGCGACTTGAGGAAGGGGCGAAATGCCTCTCGAGGCCCAGGTGGGCACGCGAGAGGATCGCGCGTGTCCGCCAGCCTGTGGCCGCTGGACCGCACTGCGATGAAACCTGCCCGCTCAACCTCGGGCCTGCCCCGAGCTTCGAGCCCAAATGGTTTGAATAGAAATAGCCATGGA